ACTCAGGTGGACCATGCAGCATTCACTACCAGGAGGTAGAGGGTGGCTAACGGTTTCCTTTGCACAAGGAATGTAGATATGGACTTTACACCCCCTCCGCCTCCCACTAGCCCATCATTAGTTAGGCCAACTATAGGTCAAAAATAGCAAGCATTGCTTAAATGTTTATAAGTTAGGCAACAGAGATTTATTTTTTTCCCAGGATCCATCAGTGTTGGATCATGAACGGAAGAAAAGAGAAACATCCTGAAAGCATTCTAAAAAGTCCATAAATGGGAAAGAGCAGGGGGAGAGAGGAGAGCAGTGAAGCCTAAGTCCACCCATAGTGAAAGACACTCTGCAAACATAGAACATGTACATTGCCTTTTAGTGTGGATGCTTTGATGACCCAGACTGACTGAAAGCCAGGGTTCATGCCCTCTACTTTCCTTCTGAGCTGTCACTGGGTTTGTGACTGTAGGTCCCATAATACAGCCAAGAGATCCTGCACTTGGCTCCGCCACATACCATCAAGGGACTGGTCATGAGTTCCTGGAGGGTTCTGTACTGAGAATTCATCTACCTGTTGACCCCAACTTCTGAGGGCATTCTAAAATCCTGAATCCACGATCCAGGAACTCAGGGTGTTGTAAGACCTGAAACAAAACAGAAAGCTACAGGTTCACTGAAGGTGCCATCTATCACCCGGGCTAAGGACAGTTAGCCTGGGAAGATCCCCATGTGGATAATTCTATATCACTTGCACAAAAGTTTTCTTCCTTTGGAGTAATTTTGCTTTGGGTTGTTGAGCTATTAACCATTTGCAATTCGGATGCCTAAAAATTCAGTAATGGAAGAAGAAACTTCATTTTAAAGCTTAAATTCCAAACAATTTCCAGGCAACTTTAAAAAAGAAAATCAACTAGCCTTGGGAAAGTTGCTGGTTCTTTTAACTGTGAAAAACAAGGGAGATGGACCTTGCTTGTGGGAAAATAATTAGGTTCAGGACCCACTGTCCTACCCCAGAAAGCTCAGGTCTCCATCCCACGGCCCCATCTTCTTAAACAGACTCTCTGGTTCCTTAGATACAAAAAGCTTGTTGGGCCCTCCCACTGGAACTGACAAGCATAGTAGGCAAGACTACAGTCATGTACCACTCATCTCCTGATCCTCAGGGTTCCAGGCCCCGCCCCCTCACTCTCATCTCCCTCTGAGAAACAAGGCATGCTGGTTAGGGAGTGAGCAGATCTCTGGACTCTCTCCCACAATATCATCCTTCCCCGTTCAGCTCTGTGCCTCTCTTTCGGCAATCTCACCCATGCACATAAAGGAGACATTACTGAGTGGTCTGGAGCTCACAAAATCTTTTATTAACTTACTCTTCAAAGAGTTTTTAAAAAGAAAAAGAAAAAAACAGTTGTCTTTGTTTTGTGTGTTTTCCCAAATGCTAAGGTTTGGTTCTGAGTGAGAGATTATGAAAAATTCCAGAAATTCTCAATTCAGGAAATTAGAAATGTGTCTCCACAATCAATGCGGTACCACAGCATATATCGAACACTATCTATGGACCAAGGACTACAAATGAAAATTGCATTGAAACAAATGACATCAGATTGTAAATATGCAAGTGTCTTGGTCTTCAGAGGAAGCACTGAGTGCTCCCTTGGGTACCAGCACACCTGGGCTCCGACCCAGGCCGTGCACACAGCAGCGCCAGATGTGACTCCTTGGCGGGGATGTCCATGCTCCCTGGTACAGTAGCGCACTGAGGCTCCTTGCCGAGCAATGGGGACTTAACCAGGCTGTGCAAAAATACTAAAAATAGTGACTATTGCTATAGGCAAGTGCTTGCCTGAATTAACTTATTTAATCCTCACAACAATCTTAAGAGCAGAAGTGGGTGTACTATTTTTAGTTAATATTTTATTATTATTTAGACACTAATAAAATGTAATAAGCTTCAGGGAACCTCCTTTGTACAGTTCCTCATCAATAAGTGATACTTGTTTATGTTTGTGAACTTCTCAGCTGTGTCATTTGTTGTGATTCATTTATCATCCTAAATGAATGTTCACTTTAGCACCTAGTTTTGTAGTCATAATTGATTTTTTTTTCTTCAAGAGGGCCCTGCAAATTGTGTAAACTTTACTCCCCTCTCAGAACCTAGGTCTACCCGTACTGTCTATGGATAACAACTATTAACAACTCTGTCTTGCAGATGATGACACTGAGACCCAGGGAGAGGTTAAGTTTCTTGCGCAAGTACACACAGCCAGTTAGTGGTGGGATCCAGATTTGAACCCAGACAGCCTGGCTCCACGTGAAATGCTCTTAACCACAGACTTAATTGCTTCTTATTATTTTTACATAGAGGTCCTAGCAAACTCTCCGGGACATTACAGACCACTAATAATTAATGATTGTTATTATTTTGTAAATTAAAAATTGCTTTTGCAATAACAGGAATGCAACCATGTCAGCTTGCAACTTACAAAACATAAATTTGTAGCAGGCTGATTGTATATAAGAAATCTCCCTCTTAATATTAATTTCCTGAAAGAGCCTGAAAGTAGCATTATTCTAAGTATGGTCCACAGATCACCATCCTCAGAATCACCTGGGCCCCACCCAACCTAATGGATCTGATGTGAGTGGAGGTCTCAGAAACGAGAATATTCACTGCGCTCCTGGAGTTCCCTTTTGCGCACCAAAGTTTGAAAAACACTGCTCACAGTTGTCCTGCTATGAGTAATATTGTTTACAAATGAGGTGGAGGAAAGTCAGAAAGGAATCTGAATCTAAAGTGTTATTAGTAATACCTCCAACTAAAGGTAAAAGACAAATAAGAGAACTTCTCTGAAACTGCAATACAGTTTTCAGTTACATAAGAAAAAATAAGTGTACATATAAATTTGAAGACCATGATTCTGCAAATAGATCACAAAGTACATTTCCAAGTATTGTTCTCAGGGTTAAGTGTACTACTAATTTTCTCCATTTTCAAAATCCTTTGAATTAAATCATCCCATTAACTGCATTTGAGAGATGGGGACATAGAGGCTTGTAGATATTAACTCTCCAGTGAGTGCAGACCCAGACCCAGAAAGCCTGATTCTGGAACCTGTGCTCTTAAATCCTACATCACAATAGATAGATAGATAGATAGATAGATAGATAGATAGATAGATAGATAGAGATTTTAATAGGGTAGTAATAAAGAGGTAAAATTGTTCATTTTCACAAGACTCCATGTCTTGGATTTTTTTCTGACTTAGTCATTTTCAAGATGAATAAATAGGGCCATGGGTTGTAGACAGTATGAAACCACTAAAATGGGCCAAACCCTTCATGTTTTATGTGGGAGAGTTTAGAGAGTGTTAGAACCCTACTTGGACTTGCAGATGTCAGAGCTTTAACCCCTCCTCCCAGTTCATACACAGAATCGTTGTTTCAGTTCTTCCTACACTCTCCTTCCTCCATCCCCCCAAAAAGCTTTATGATCTTTACCCTAAATTCCTCCCCTCAGCACTTCAGCTGCCCAAGCCTACCAGCCAGTGCCAACAGTAAGTGCTGACACTGTCCCAAGCACTTTAGGTGTATTATTTCCCACATTTAACAGAATTGGACATTGAGGCCACAAGTAACTTCCCCAGAGTCACAGAGCTGCTATGTGACAGAATCAGGAATCAAACTCAGGCTGCCTGACACCAAGCACACACCCTAACCACTTACTAAAACATTACCACTTATTGAGTACCTACTGAATACATTGCACAGGCCAGCAGTGGAATCATTACAAATATTCTCAAAAGGAGATCTACTTCCCTCTGTGATCAACAGGAAAGGAAGAGGCAAGGAGATTAAACCCCTTGTCTAGGCCACACAACTGTGTAAATGGCCAAGAGCAGCCTTTCTCTCTGGATCCACAGCCTACACTTTCCCTGCTCCATGCACAGCCTCCAGGAATTTTTATGGGTTATTCCTTCTCACAACCCTGCAAGAGAGTGGCCATTTCTTCCATTTTGCAGGAAGCACATCCATGAGGCAGTCAACAAGAACATGATCATCTGACGTTTAGGCAGATTCCATCTTCTGAATCTACTCTGTAAACCAAGGTGTAAGAAAAAGGGGGAGAGGGGAGTATGCCCACTTATCTCTTCCTCCCAACCTGCTTTAGATGAAAAGGCTTGAAAATAATTTTAGTGATATACATGTAAACAGCACCAGGAGGTATGCACTATCTGCTTGGGACAGAGCCATTTCTCCCTATAAGGTCTTTATATTGATATTCTTGTGAATTTGTTTGATAGTTGGCAAAAAGCTTCTCCGTTCATCAGACACTGTACTGAAGTTTCATGTTTGCAAGTTTTACCCATCTGTGAGATCAAGCCATTTAAAACACAAACCCTGGGAGATGCACAGAATATTAACTAGGAGAATTGAAGCCATTTGGTTCTTGGTCCTTGACCATCTGGTGGGATGTCCATGTTCTACCAGTTTTCAGATGGAAAAAACAAGGCTTTCAGGAGTTTGGAACTTTCCCTAGATTGTGCTTTCTCCCTTAACAGCTAGGAGGAACAGTAACAACACACTACCCCTTGCAGCCTCTTAAAGAAGACCCTTGTAATTCATTAACGGGGACTTCGGCTCAGAAATGACAACAACAACAACAACAAAAAACTAGCAGAAATTTGCGCAGATAATAGGAGCTCAGCAGATTTCGTTCTGCAGGACTCTGAAGCCCCAGGCACAGTTCTGGAGGAAACTTCACCATTCAGACTGTTCCCACAAGTGGCCAATAAATCGATAGGGAAGCTCCCTCGCAGGAGGCTGGGGAACGGAGAAGAAAAGGGGCGGGGGTTGGGGGGAAGAAGTGACAGGATATGGTGTGGTATCTCCCTTCCTGGCGGCCACCACTGCTCAAAGGAGCTTGTCCAGTGGCCACTTGCCCAAAGGAGGCGTGGGGAGGGACAACAGCCAGCGCCCTGGCCCTCCCTGGGTCCCACCAGATTTCCACTTACTTGCTCCGAAGCGTCACCCCAGCTGTGCGCCTCTTCCAGCGACCCCGCGCAGAGCGGCAGCCCCAAGCACAGCCCCAGAATCAGGAGCATGGTGGCGCCGGGATGCCGCAGGACGGGCAGGGAACAGCGCTGGGCTCGGGCCGCTGACGCGCTCGGGGGACAGCGCCAGGACTCCGACAGCAAAAGTGCACGGCCCCACCTCCTCGCCAACCCTCTCGCCCAGCTACTTCGCGCGCCCCGCCCCCCGCCCGCCCCGCCGCCCCTGGTCCTAACAGCTCCCCGCTGTTAGGAGGCGATCCTGCAGGCGGCCGGCTGCTAGCAAAACTTGTCCCAAGGGTCCCCTTCAGCCAAGCTCCCTAACTCATCGCCCACGGAGTTCGCCCCATCCCTCCCTCGCCTTCAGCCCAACCCTCTCCAGCACATGTGACAGCTGCCAACCTCGTCCCCTAACACTTTCTTCCTTCCCTGCAAAGTGTGATATGCTTCATGGACTCGCGTCATTTTTGTAGGAGGACAGAGGAAAGTCCAGACTGACAATATGTATGTAGCCCACCTCCCTCACCTGCTGTATAAACCAGTGCCCACCTGTTGCAATTCCCATCCGCCCCTCACCTGCTAGCCTAAACACAACGGAAGACCTTCTTCCCTCTGCCTGGAGAACAGCATGTTCCTCTTGGACTCACGCACTGGTGCTTAGAAGCCAAATTAAGAAATGCTAAGTAGTAGTTTAATGCAAAAAGTACTAACATTGCTGACCCCATTTATGCAGTTCTGCCATAAAGGGACAGGAAAGAGGAAGCTAGAACTGGCACCATGTACTATTTCTACTTTTTTGGTCATTAACCATGGAAATAAATGTCATTGTTATCTTATTTATAAACTATTGATGATATGTCCATTCTGTCATAGGAAGGATTATTATCTACCCACCAACCATCTACGCATGGCCTTTTAGAGTCTAGGCATGATCTTTTTATCTGATAGCTTGAGCTGCTTGTTTATTTCATCTTCCACAAGACAATCGCCTGAAAGACATTTTTATGTGTTGGAACAATCACATCTAAATAGATGAACTGAATGACAGGTTAATACAACCTCAAGGGCCAAGAACAGGAAAATGACTAACTCAAAAAATGGAACATCCATCCTGTAGAATATTTTGCAGCCATTAAATAGTAATCACAGGGTCTACAAAATTATGAAAAATGTTTGTAGTGTAAAATAAAGAATAAAATCAGATTACATAATATTATCAACAGAATGACTGTAATTAGGTAAAAATACAAATGCATAGACGAAAGGACGAGGGGGGAAACATGAAAAACGAAAATAGGGGGTGTGTTAGTCAGTGGTGATATCTGCATGTGTGAACGAGGGGGCCTGGGCTGGCTACGCTATGGAAGGAGAGGACTGGGCTATTGTCTGAACTTGACTATTATCAAGCTACATGGCTTGAGGGAATTTCTTAACTTCCTAGGACTTGCAAACTGTAATAGCTTAGACTTCTACATGACATCTGAGCATTTCTATGATCAAGCAGAAGTGGTCTTTTAAAACTGGGTAAGGCCCTGGACGGTTGTGGCTCAGTGGATTGAGCATCTGCCTGAGAACCAAAGAGTCACGGTTCACTTACCAGTCAGGGAATGTGCCTGGGTTGCAGGCCAGGTCCCCAGCAGGGGGCGCACGAGAGGCAACCACATACTGATGTTCCTCTCCTCTCCCTCCCTTCCCCTCTGTCTAATAAATATTTATGTTTAAAAAAAACTGGGTAGGGATAATAAAGTAAGATCCAGAAAAAGTTTTCCAAAACTGTTGAGCTTAGGCAATGATTTATATTGACCTTATAAATAGGGACACAAAAATTAACTGTCCCCTAAAAAGGGGCTGAAGTGTCCCCCCGCACACTGATCCTTTGATGCCATGTTTCTCATTTAACGTCCAGGAGGAGCTAATTTTTCCATTTGAAACTACTAGACTCCTAGAACTTCAAGTCTGGGAAAGACCGTAAAGGACATCCTGCTCAATCCTAATTTTTCCAACAGGACACCTAAGGGGCCTTGCCCAGGACCACACACCAGTTAGAGACAAATGCCTCACAAGGCCCCAAACATTCACTGACAGAAATCTAAGTCCAGGGCTCAGCAGCCAGTGCAAGAATGAAGGGGAGCTTCTCTGTCTGGGTCAGAGAGGCCCTCTGTGCCAGCTCTGTCAAGGAAACCTCTCCCCAGGTACCTGAAGGATGGGCCATGGATCCCCAAATTTAGAATCAGACTCCTTAGAGTTACCAGCTTTATCCTGGTCTCCCATTTGAGACTGCCAATTGATGGGCCTGAAGCCATGGCTACTCTAGCCAAGGCAGAGACTGACAAAGAAAAAGGAAGCTTGTACATTTGTTTTCTTTTTCTCTCCCTTGAATTTAAACCCTGACGCACCCTGGTTTCTATATCTAGCTGCTCTAAGACTGAAGCCCTCCCTAAGGCCTCTGGGCCCCCGCCCCAGACTCATCCTCCCCTACCTCAGCTCCTCTCTGAGTGTCTGTGAGGCCATTGTTCTATTCTGGGTTCTTTTACCCCGCAGTCTCACCTTTTTATCTACTTATATGACCTTGTGTTTCTCTTGGACCCCTGACAATTTTGCATAATTGCTATAGTTACTTACAACCTTGGCTTTTTTCCCCTTCTGAATCAAAGAGATTGAGAAGGAAAGGAATTCCTTTTGGCTGTAGCTCTATGATTTCTCAGGAGCCCACAATATCTTGGGAGTCTAGTTACATCCTCTCTTCACCGTCTTTACCAACCACTGAGTTTTATTTAGAGACAAGATTTGTGGAAGAGGAAACAGAGAATGAAGTTTTCTAACTTCTTCTGACTGATGATTTGTTGAATTTATCAACTCCTCACAAACTGCAACACATCATATTTTATTTTAATTATCTGTGTAATTAGACTCTGATATCCCCATGGGCAGGGATTATCTCACACACATTTTTGTATTTCCAGTCTCTGGCACATGGCCGGGAATAGAGTCGACATGAAGTATGTTTGTTGGATGAATGAGAGAATGTGTATCTGCCATTATTCTGTCCTGTGCTAGCAGTGTTGTGATATAACCAAAGTTTTAGGCATGGCCTATGACATGGAAGAACTTGCCATTTAGCTCTGAAAGTATAACTAACAAACATGTGAGATGCTAAGTGGACAAGAGGGTGAGATTTTAATTGTGGACTAGAATAATTAGAGAAGTCTTTCTGAAAGAAATAGATATTATCCTTTGCATGAATCAGATTTTGGAAGCCAGATAGAGAAGGAAGAACATCAAGGAGGCAGGGAAAGGACAGGGTATACGAGCAGAAAAGGCTTTGACATTGGAGAAATCACAACACAAAATATTGGGGGGGGGGGGGTTCAAATTTGGAAAGTTACCTGTAGAATTTTCTTGAGCTGAAAGGTGGGAAAGGAGAGTGCAGGTGTCCCCAAATGCCAAGCTGCTGACCAATGGTGTCTCATGACAATGTTTTCTCCAACTTCTTGCAAAAGGAGAAAAATAAAGGTGTTGTGGTATTTCTTTTTTCATAAAGCCTTCTTTTAATTTGAAGAACTGTCGCTTGCTCTGAGATTTTTGTCCTACCCTCAATGACTATCTCACTGTGGGTGCACGGGGTGGAAGAGTAAAAGGGGGGTATGTCCCCAGGGACGGGTATATGTTGAGAGTAAGAGGGATGAGATGGTGAACCAGAATCTTAGGAAGCCATTGGGAGTGACAAATGTCATTTGAAATATCTCCCAGATGATTTAGAAATCCTGCCCACACACCGCCAAACTTTGTACCATATACCTGGAAATGATAGAAATTATTGCTATTTCCATTACCCATGCCTGCTCCCCTATTAATGCTCTAAACTGAGTAGATGAATACAAGTACTTTTTTTAATAAATCATGTTTATTCTATTACAGTTGTCTCAGTTTTTACCCCTTTACCCTCCTCCACCCATCCCACCCCCACCCCCCACTCCCAGTCAATTCCCACTCTGTTGTCCTTGTCCATGGGTCATTCATACATATTCTTTGTCTAGTCCCTTCTCCTTCTTTCCACCATTGTCCTCTTTCCCCATCCCCTCTGGTCACATTCAGTCTGCTCCATATCTCCGTGCCTGTGGTTTATTTTGTTCGTTAGTTTATTTTGTTGAATAGATTCCACTTATAGGTGAGATCATGTGGTATTTGTTTTTCATCAACTGGCTTATTTCACTCAGCTTAATATTCTCTAGTTCCATCCATGCTGTCACTAAAGGTAGGAGTTCCATATATCTCTCTTTCTTTCTTTCTTAAATGCAGATTGATTTTATTTATTTTTTTAAATGTCAAAGTTAGTTATAAAATATTAAAAAAATCTAAAATCATTATAAGGTCTCAGCAATTAAACCAACATGACACATGCACAGAAATAATCAAGTAGATCAATGAAACATAGTGAACATTCTAGAGACAAATGTATGTATCTGTCTAACAATGTTTTATATGATTAAGTTGATATTTCAAATCAATGGGTAAAATAAGACTTATTCAACAGATAAGGTGCATGGACCACTATTACTTGAAATAAAACAAATATAGAGCCCTATGTCACACATTATACAAGAAATATTCAGGTGAGTTAAAAATCAATATGTAGAATCTAAGGAGTTTTAGAAGAAAATAGAACTACTATTTTTCATGACCTGAAGTAAAATATTCAAACCCAGAAGCTATAAAGTAAATATTGACAATATGACAATATTAAATATTTAACCATATAGTAATATACATATTTTAAAAAGTTAAAAGACAAGGAATAGGAGAGAAAAGTATTGGCAACACATCTAAAACATGGTTAATAGGTTTTTTTGCTTGTTTGTTTTTTAGGGAAAAGAGTTCTACAAACCTTTAATCAATAAATGGGTAAAGAATACCAGAAAGTCATTTAAAGCTTTAAAAAAAAAATAGAAAAAGGCAAAAAATATACTAAAACAGGTTTAGTTCCAACAAATAGTAAAGGAACAATGAAAATAACATCATTGTCACAATCAGATTAATGAGTATTAAAAATATTGGTAATATCAAGTATTGGCAACTCTAAAAGGAACTGAGTATTCATAGAAACTTTTTCTG